TACATTTTTCAGAAGTATGGAACACATTCATCAGTTTAGAATAGACTCACATGGAATTGTTTGTACTCGTTTGGTCTTTTATTGTAGTTAATTTATAAATATGCATATTTAAATACACTACTTTTGCCTAAAAAACAAGCATATAAACCCTAGATGAAAGTCTCATTAATGGGATAATGAATGAGAAGCTTAGTTTTATTACTTGTCTCATTATCTCTCTTTAGTGAAGTCATTTAATTGCTCTTTATGCCTTTCTCAACAAGAGAACTATATTTACTGGTCCTATAAAATATTCTAGTAATGTTAACTGGTTAAAGTTAGTCTGAAAATTGCTTTAGGGTGATACAATTCAAATGAGAGAGAGCACATTCATAGTTTGTGGAGACTTATTTGCAAATGTAGGACTGCCTGGCAGTAATGGCCCAGAAGCACTGACATTGTAGGATAGCCATTGCATGTATTTAAACCCAGAGGTTGCCATGTTTTGTTTGGTCCCTAAAGTTGTTTTTCTTTTTGCACTGAACTAACATTAAAATTTTGTCAGTTGTTCAGTCGCTCAGTCCCGTCCAACTCTTTGTAACCCCATGAACTGCAGGACGCCAGCCTTCCCTGTCCTTCACCATGTCCCAGAGTTTTCTCAAATTCATGTCCATTGAGTCAGCAATGCCATCCAACCATCTCATCTCCTGTTGTCCCCTTCTCTTCTTGCCTTCTGTCTTTCCCAGTATCAGGGTCTTTTCCACTGAGTTGGCTCTTCACATCACATGGCCAGAGTTTTGGAGTTTCAGCTTCAGCATCCATCCTTCCAGTGAAAATTCAGGATTGATTTCCTTTAGGATTGACTGGTTTGATCTCTTTGCAGTCCAAGGGACTCTTAAGACTCTTCTCCAACACCACAGTTCAAAAGCATCAATTCTTTAGCATTCAGCATTCTTTGTGGTCCAACACTCACATCCATTCATGACTACCGGAAAAACCATAGCTTTGACTAGATGGACCTTTGTTGGCAAAGTCATGTCTCTGCTTTTCAACATGCTGTCTGTTTTGATTATAGCTTTTCTTCCAAGAAGCGAGCGTCTTTTAACTTTCTGGCTGCAGTAGTGGTCCACAGTGATTTTGGAGGCCAAGAAAATAAAATCTGTTGCTATTTCTATTTTTTCCAGTTTTTTGAAAATTGAGGTTTAACCAGCTTTTTCACTCTCCTCTTTCACCTTCATCAAGAGACTCTTTAGCTCCTCTTTGCATTCTGCCATTTCAGTTCAGTTCAGTTCCTCAGCCGTGTCCGACTCTTTGCGACCCCATGAACTGCAGCACACCAGGCCTCCCTATCCATCACCAACTCCTGGAGTCCACCCAAACCCATGTCCATTGAGTCAGTGATGCCATCCAACAATCTAATCCTCTATCGTCCCTTTCTCCCTCTGCCCTCAATCTTTCCCAGCACCAGGGTCTTTTCAAATGAGTCAGCTTTTCGCATCAGGTGGCCAAAGTATTGGAGTTTCAGCTTCAAAATCAATCCTACCAATGAACACCCAGAACTGATCTCCTTTAGAATGGACTGGTTGGATCTCCTTGCAGTCCAGGGGACTCTCAAGAGTCTTCTCCAACACCACAATTCAAAATCATCAATTCTTCAGTGCTCAGCTTTCTTTATAGTCCAACTCTCACATCCATACATGACTACTCGAAAAACCATAGCCTTGACTAGACGGACCTTTGTTGGCAAAGTAATGTCTCTGCTTTTTAATGTGCTGTCTAGGTTGGTCATAACTTTACTTCCAGGAGTAAGCGTCTTTTAATTTCATGGCTGCAGTCACCATCTGCAGTGATTTTGGAGCCCAGAAAATAAAGTCTGACACTGTTTCCACTGTCTCCCCATCTATTTGCCATGAAGTGATGGGACCAGATGCCATGATCTTAGTTTTCTGAATGTTGAGCTTAGGGTGATGTTATCTGCATATCTGAGGTAATTGCTTTTTCTCTTGGCAATCTCGATTCCAGCTTGTGCTGCATCCAGCCCAGCATTTCTCATGATGTACTCTGCATAGAAGTTAAATAAACAGGGTGACAATATACAGCCTTGACGTACTCCCTTTCCTATTTGGAACCAGTCCGTTGTTCCATGTCTGATTCTAACTGTTGCTTCTTGACCTGCATACAGATTTCTCAGGAGGCAGATAAGGTAATCTGGTATTCCCATTACATAAAATTCCATGTTTCTGTTTTCTGTTAAAATTTGACCACACTAGGTTTATATTCCTGCATAGGAGCAGTCACCTAGAAATAAGTGTTCACTGCCACACTTGAATAAACTGTAATTTTCATTTCTTACTGAGTGTATCACATCTTGCTATTCACTACAGATGCTGTACCCATTTCTATTGATCAGGAAGCTTGATTTGTTGCTTTCCTTTCAATTCGTACCTCTCTAAAGAAGATAACAGACTGGTTCCAAATAGGAAAATGAGTACGTCAAGGCTGTATATTGTCACCCTGCTTATTTAACTTATATGCAGAGGACATCATGAGAAACCCTGGGCTGGAAGAACCACAAGCTGGAATCAAGATTGCCGGGAGAAATATCAATAACCTCAGATATGCAGATGACACCACCCTTATGGCAGAAAATGAAGAGGAACTAAAAAGCCTCTTGATAAAAGTAAAAGAGGAGAGTGAAAAAGTTGGCTTAAAGCTTAACATTCAGAAAACTAAGATCATGGTATCTGGTCCCATCACTTCATGGCAAATAGATGGGGAGACAGTGGAAACAGTGTCGGACTTTATTTTGGGGGGCTCCATAATCACTGCAGATGGTGATTGCAGCCATGAAATTAAAAGACGCTTACTCCTTGGAAGGAAAGTTATGACCAACCTAGATTGCATATTAAAAAGCAGAGTCATTACTTTGCCAACAAATGTCCATCTGGTCAAGGCTATGGTTTTTCCAGTAGTCATATATGGATGTGAGAGTTGGACTATGAAGAAAGCTGAGCCCCGAAAAATTGATGCTTTTGAACTGTGGTGTTGGAAAAGACTCTTGAGAGTCCCTTGGACTGCAAGGAGATCCAACCAGTCCATCCTAAAGGAGATCAGGCCTGAGTGTTCATTGGAAGGACTGATGCTGAAGCTGAAACTCCAATACTTTGGCCACCTCATGCGAAGAGTTGACTCATTGGAAAAGACCCTGATGCTGGGAGGGATTGGGGGCAGGAGGAGAAGGGGACGACAGAAGATGAGATGGCTGGATGGCATCACCGACTCAATGGGCATGAGTTTGAGTAAACATCAGGAGTTGGTGATGGACAGGGAGGCCTGGCGTGCTGCGATTCATGGGGTCGCAAAGAGTCGGATACGACTGAGTGACTGAACTGAACTGAAAGAAGATAAATGAAAACTAGAGCAGTAGTGCTTTTGTTTAAAAAATTATATAACCAAGTATTTTTGTTTCCGAAAGTATAGATATTGACAGTGTTTGATAGGGTTAAACAAATAATGTTTTATATGTTAGAAAAGATTATATGTTGCTCATATAACTTGACACTTAGCTCCTATTAGTGCAAGTGTTCAAGTTTCAAGCTTCAGCACCTTCCAGCCTGCCCTTGAGTGTGTCCTGAGGTGACTTGTAAATGGAATCCTCTTCTCAGAAATCCTTGTCATGCTAAAACTGCTGAAACTGTCCTGCAGTCATTTTTAGGTCTCATTATTGCTTCCTCTCTGCCTCTTTATACCTGATGCTCATAATCTTTCCCCTCCTCACCAGAATTAATGCCCCTGTTTCATATAGCTCCTACACCAAAACTAGATGACAGATAGAATAGAATATTTCACTCATTCAACTACTCTGTCAAATATCTAATATTTATCAGCTTTATTATAGGTCTGAGGATAAATTAATGAACAAAACATACCCAGTTGAGAATAATTCACAGCTTACCTTCTAGTGGAAGAAACAGACAATAAAGATACAAACAACAAATATATTACACACAGGTATATAGAGCTGTGAAAACAAAAAAAAATAAAACAAGCTAAGGAAATAAGAGGGTGGAAATGGTATTGGGGAGCAATTTTTATATGTCGTCACCTTAAAGGAAGTTGCTTTTGAACTGAGAACTGAATGAGGCAACAGAGAAAACCATGGAATTGTCTGGAGAAGGGTAATCCAGGTAGGGAACAGCAAGTGCCAAGGTCCTGGATGGGGAGCTGACTTGAGGCTCAGGAAGAACAAGAACCATGGCTGTGGTGGACGCAATGCAGCCCAGATATTCAGGAGTTTATAGCCATGTTTAGTTGTTGGGATTTTGTTCTGAGAGTAGTGGAAGTTACTGGAGTTTTCCAGAGGAAAATTACCAGGTGTAATGACCATATCCAATCCAAGCTCCAACTTCAGAGAGTCCTCTTTGATAGGAAGGGGACCAGATGGAATGAAACTCTTGCGTTAGAGTTCTGATTGAATTTGATAATGATAATCTAATTTATTCTAGCCAGTAGCAGCATTAGTGGAGAAGGAAATGCAACTCATTTCAGTATTCTTGCCTGGAGAATTCCATGGACAGAGGAGCCTGGTGGACTACAGTCCACGGGATCGCAAAGAGTCAGACACCACTGAGCAACTGACACACAGCAGCATTAGATTATATCTGCAAGAGCATTTTTTTTTTCCTAGCAACACTGAATCTGGCACAGGATAAGAAATATAAAAGTGATGGATGAGAAAGGTGATAAGTTATATCATGAACCAAATGACATCAGCTTCACTCTGAAAACAAACAGGACAGGATACATGGACTTAGCCTATTTAAATGATCAAATTATATATATTGTATGTTTATTTTCTACAGATCGTACTATGTATAATCATGCTGTTTTTTTCTCAGTAGGTAGCAAACACACTTACAACAATTTGAGCTTCTAAGTATCTTGAAAAATAGAGGTCTCTCGATTATTATTAACAAAGTTACAATTGTATTAACTTAGTCCTTTTAAAAATATTTTTCTAGTGCCCAGGAGGAGCATTTACACCCAATATGCGAACCACGAAGGAGTTCCCGGATGATGTTGTCACTTTTATTCGGAACCACCCCCTCATGTACAATTCCATCTACCCAATACATAGAAGGCCCTTGATTGTTCGTATAGGCACTGACTATAAGTACACAAAAATAGCTGTGGATCGAGTGAATGCTGCTGATGGTACATACAATGTCCTGTTTCTTGGAACAGGTAAGTATTTTAGCTAAAACTACTTTTAATATGTAGTAAAAGAGCATAGTTGTTGAGGGCATGATATTGAAATCAGAAAAACCCCAGTGTTTGCTTCTGTCTGACTCTTAGGTGTTAAGTGTCCCTGTGTTTCAGTTTCTGCATCTGTAAAATGGGGTTAAAATAAATTACTTTATGGGATTGTTGGGAGGAACCAATGGCTTAATAGTAAACATATGTAAAGCACCTTAAACAGTTCCTAGCATGTAATATGGTGAAATAAGATAATGAAATAAATGAGGGGATGGGAATTTTTAAGCATGAGTGTTCCCTCAGCTAAAACAAATTCTGTGACCTCTTCACAAACACATGGAGCCATCTATGCTTTCCTGCCATCTCTACGACATTTCTTTATCAATTACATCTTTTTTTTACTTTTTAAACATTTATTTATTTTTTAACTGAAGAATAATTGCTTTATGGAATTTTGTTGTTTTCTGTCAGACATCAACATGAATCAGCCATAGGTATACATTTGTAGCATCAACATAATATCAATTACATTATTACAAACTTTATTCTTCCATTTCATCCTCCCTGGAAGCCTTGGCTTAGCAAACTTATGCAAGCATATGAAGTCAGGCCTGTATGTTCACCTACCTCTACTTCTGTTGTACTGCTGATTTTGCCAAGGTCTTCAGTCTTCTCATGATAAGAAAGCCCAATATCCTTTAACCATTAAAATACCTCCACGCCCTTGTATCATTTGATATTGTAGAATCACTCTTTACTTGTTGCTTTAGCCACAAGTCACATAATTTCCTTTATCTTCGACAGTTCCCTCTCAGTTCCTTCATTAGTCTGGCTTCCATCTCCCCATGAGTGTATGTATTTACTGAGGTTCTATCCATAGTCCTCTTCTTTTTACATATTCCTTGGCCATCTCATTCACTCATTTGGTTTTAATTAGTCTGTGCAAACAAATCCCAAATGTGTGTCTCTAGTCCTTGCAATCTCATGAGTTCAGTATTAGTATTTACAATTTATTATTAGGTAACAGAAGTTGTATGACCCGTTAATATTTCAAACAGCATGCTTCAAACTCATTTTATTCACTTATAAGACTGCTTAACCAATGCTTAATCTAGTTTCCCATGTTTGTATTCATTGCTACACGTTCCTCTCAAGGTTCTATTTCTCCTTGATGTGTCATTCTCTCTAGATATATTGCAGTTCTTGGTAAGCTCAGTAAATATTTGTCAAGTTGAACTGAAAATCGTAACTATATCCATTGCTTTTCATACAATGAAATGAATTCATAACTGATTGTAAAAACTAATCTTTGTTTGCTTACAAACTGTGTTTTCAAGAGATGTTTTCTCCATATAAATAACTGCAATCTTTTAGCCTTGATTCAGATCATCCACTGTGGAGTTTGCATTTTAAAAAAACCTTTTTTTCCTGAGTTGGTCGTTTATAGAGTTATACCTGTCCCTAATGTCTCATAGTACTTAGGAAAAAAATGACTGTTTCTTATTTTCCTTTTGAAGCCAGTCTTAAAGGTGGGCCCTTTTTCCAGTTTTATTGAGATATAATTGACATACATCACTGTACAAATTTAAGGTGCACAACAAAATGGCTTGACTTACATATATTGTGAAATGATAATTGCAGTAATTTTAAGTATCCATCATATCATATAGATATAGTAAAAAGAAAAAGTATATCTTTCCTTCTAATGAGAACTCTTAGGATTTACTCTCTTAACAACTTTTATATGTATCATACAGCAGTATAATTATAGTGCATCCCATAACTGTACAGGTGTATATTATATCCCAGGTACTTATGTATCTTATAACTGGAAGTTTGTACCTTTTGATTGCCTTCATTTAATTCTTCCTCTCTCCACCTCTGGTAATGAATGTGGTTTTTCATTTTGTTTTTGCTTTTTTCTTCCATATATAAGTGAGAGCTTAGCATAATGCCATCAGGTTCCATCCATGTTGTCACAAATGGCAAATTTTCATTCTTTTTATGGCAGAATATTCTGTTGTGTTTTAAAGCACAATTATTTTTATTTTTTAAAAAATCAATTGTGAATGAGGTATAGTTGCTTTACCTTTTAGTGTTGTTAGTTTCTACCGTGTAGCAAAATAACTCAGCCGTACATACACATATGTCTCCTCCCTTTTGGATTTCTCCTTCATTCAGGTCACCGCAGTCACTACATTAAGTAGAGTTCCCCGGGAAGAATGGGAAATGGAGATTGAGGCATATACCCTATTGATACTATTTTGTATAAACGACATATCTGTAAACAGACACTTAGGTTGTTTCCATGTCTTGTCTATTGTGAATAATGCCACAGTGAACATGGAGGTGCAGATATATTCTGCTGTTAGTGCTTTTGTTTCTTAAAGTTGGGCTTTGATGTCACATTCAGATTGTTTAGTCATGAAAGTCTACATAAGATACACAGGTTTCATGGATGGAATTTTCTAGTCTTTAAAAATTGTCCAACAATGTTTATTTAGATAGAAAGCAGTAAGAAAGAAACATGCCTTTGCACAAGTTCTTTGACTTTTCTTACTATACAAGTATCTGGCACCTTTACTCGGACATTTTTATATTGGTATTTAAACACTTGTGTCATTTTCAAAAACGGTATTTAGCCATATGTTTTTAATTGTAGTGGGAAGCTCCACTAATCACTGCTTACAAAGCCACATAAGTCTCTTGAAGATTGTATTCAAATAGGAAAATTCATGCTGAGAAATGCCTCTGCCAAGAGCGTCTTTCTGGATAGATGGTAACTCACATAACCATTGAACCTAATCCTCATGGTTATATCAGATCACATTGTAATTTTTTAAAAGTGATTTCAACTTACCTGAAACTCTAACAAACAGTATATTGTTATGAAATATTTTCTACCTGAGTAGATCTTGAATTTCTGGTGAAATTTCTTCAAAAGAAAGTTCTCTATGTTTGTTTGCTACTGAAAGTGAATAAAATAGCCTTTACTGATAGAAGTTGGGAGAATCATGGTTCACTATTCCCAGAATTTCTTAACTTTCTGTATCTAAATTCCTTAGGAAGGATTATAGTATGTCTTTTGTGTTGTCAAATCCCCAAGTACCAAACAGTCCTTTAGTTGTTATAAATAAGTAATGATGCTTCAATTGTTGCCACAATTAAGCAAGCTTCTCTCATGGCTTCCCTTTTCTCTGGACCTTCATGGAGAATTAAAGGGAATTTGATGAAGATATTGGTTGTCAAAAAGTTGCCATAGGAAAACTTATGTGGCAGGTCATTGGAATGCAAACAGGATATCTTGTAACTGTATCCCCTTTGAATAGGAATGGTTTGTAGTTCACAGAATCTATGGTAGTTGTGCAGGCTGAATGTTCAGTAACTGTTACACTTAGTCTATTACAGTTTACTACTCTGGCTGAGGTTGAGAGGCTGGTATTCTGGCCTTCTACTCTTCTAGGACTGCCTCATTACTTTTTGTGTACTGTGAGCTGCCAAAATAAACACATACATACATATGTGCATGTATAAGTCAATAAATGCAATGAATGGAGGGAGGAAGGGAGGGAGAAAGAAAGAAAAGTAAATTTTTTTCCTGTCATCTTTTATTTCTTAGTTTGCATTATCAACGTCTAGTCTGTGGGTGAGATAGCCCACAGCCTGCTGCAAATATGGTCTATAAGCTAAGAATGATTTGCATTTTTTAATGACTGAGAGAAAAATGGCAAGAAGAGTATTACATGAGCAGTGAAAATTGTAAGATTTTTAGATTTCAGTGCCCACAAAAAAGTTTTATTAGAACACAGCCACATCCATTCATTTACATTTGTCTGTGGCTGAGTTTGCGCCTCAAAAGACTTGAGTACTTGCCAAAGAGACCACTCAGCCCATAGAGCCTAAATTATTTGTTATTTGACCTTTAACAGAAAAAGTTTGATGACTTTTGTTTAATAACTGTATAATTGTAGAAAAATTGACTTCTAAAAGAAGCTATTGTCTAGGATGTAGCTAAAATACAATAATTTATAATGATGCTTTGTATAAAAACATCTTTTTTAATGTTGAGTAAAAAATGTCTTGTTATATCTATTAAAATTTAAACTAGAAACCATGTTACTTGATTATTTTCCAGTTCATTACTGCTACTATGCCCCTAACAAGGAACACAGGTTGAAACAATGTATTTTAAAGTCAGTGCTTTTTAAAATCTGGTAGTATTATTTGATATTTTGTAGAATTTGGGGTTTGAGATTTTTTTTGTTGTTTTTGAGATTAATTTTTAGTGCTAAAATGATGGATATTTTTATGTTCCTTAGTCTCTTTGTTCAGTCTTTAGGAAAGACTATAAAATAGCAGACAAGTATTCTCATAGGATTAACATTTCTGTTTTAACTTTGCTACCTACTGCTTATATCATGGCTATTTGTTCAAAGTTGACTATAAAGTACAGTGAAGAGATTTGCCTGTTTTCCTTTTGCCTCCAGAGTTATGAAAATAGTTAAGTGTCTGGGTCAAGTTTAGACACATTTGTCAAATGTACATTTTTAGCACTAAATATGAATCAGAATGACATGTGGTTTCTGATGAAAGAGAGAGTATTCTTGTGAATGGATGTTAGAGGTTTGGGATGATTTAATGCCGTTATGATTTTTTAATGTATGGTCGATACATTTAGTGCTTTGCCAAAATTCTTACATAGTATGTGCTGTTTCATGCCTCATACTAGCTTCTGTTTAACTGGATGATTACTAAGTTTGACTGTTGGCTCCAGTAAGTCCTTTAAAAATGTGGAGATTTGAAGTGTGTGCCACATATGTGACTAAAGCCTTAATATGTTTGCCTCGCAGCATTACAGGATCACTGCCTTTGTAGTAACTAACCAGTTCTGACAGTCACATCTTTTGAAATGTACACCTAATGAACTGCAGAACTAGGCATTTTGATTTTTACAGAACTCCCGAAACTAAAAACACCCAAGATGTAAA